TCTCAAGAGGTGTCTTCTGACCTAAGGAATTCTGTGAAGGTTTCAAATTTTTAAAAGCTGTAGAATGGCATTTCCATCAGATGTCTAGAGAATCAGTATCCACTGAAGGTGACTGCTGTCTATTGTGTAGCAATCTAAATGCCATTCAGATTGCTACACAATTCTATCAAGAAAACTAAGGATTTTTTGTTTTGTTAGTTTCCTAGTTCAGATGGATTTCAGTAATTCTTTCATCCACGAAATACAAGTAACTCTTAGAATAACTGGAGAGTACTTGGAGACTTGCCTAGAAACAGACTCCAGAGTAGCTCGATAAGGATGTAACATTGTACCAATGTGGCTCTTCTTGCAAAGTTAGAATTATTCACTCATTTTAGATTTTGCTGAGAATTTGGCTTTATTGATCAATGTTTATTTTGTCTCTGAAATTTATTTGGGAGCTGACATTGAACTTTGGTATATTTCAAAAAGTATTAGAACTGCTTTAATGAAATGCTTGGAGTTGACAAATTCTTGTGCGTCCTGGCTGTTCCTTTCAAAAGATACATTTTATTCATATTAAATGTAAGTAATTCTGTTTCACATTAGAGTGATACAGTAGTTCTTTAGGGATTTCAAGAAACCACTCCTCAAGGATGATAATACTTAGAAAGCAGCTTTTTTTTTTTTTTTTTGTTAGGAAAGCTCATATATGTGAAAAAGGACTTGCCTTTTTTATAAAGTAAGCACTGTGTTAGAGAAAACTGAGTATTGCTGAGTAAAATTCAGTTGATGAGAAAGTCAAAAGTTGAAGAACCAGAGAAAAATTAGAGCAGCTGTATTTTCATCACTCATTTGAGGGCTACAGTCACCACCTCTGTCATACCATGTGTCCTAGGGTGACTTTATGATACTGTATTGTATCCCCCACCACCTGCTGATGCTGGGTATTGAGTTCTGTGCCTTAAGACTAGATCCAAGAGCAAAGGGAGGGAGAAGCAGTGGTGTGCAGTTTGGTCTGCAGAAGCTTCACTTCCTCCACCAGATTCCTTTCTCTTGGTGTGCTGTGTGCAGAACGGATAGAGGGAGGACAGCTTTCCTTTGCTTTCTAAGCTAGTTTCTCATCTGTGAGCTGAGTCAAGAAAGTTTTTCCTGGGATGGTGTCTTTTTCCTGGAACTGCTCAGCTTTTCTCTGGTCTGGAGCACCAGGACAATTGCTCAGCACCCCCTCTCCCCAAGCTGCACTGCAGCCTGGACACCGGGCCTGAGCGCCAGAGAGACTGAGCGAGAACCAAGCCACAACCACAGAGGACCCTGTGAACCACAGAAGGACTCTCTGAATTTGCCATCTCCTCAGAACAGTGACAGGTTTCATTGTTTAATAGTATTCATTTTTCCAGGCTTGTGAACACTTTGCTTATTAAATAAACAGCTTTTTCCCATTTTCTTCAAGGAGATTTTCTCCTGAATTGTTTGGGGGAAGGGCTGCTGGAATCTGCCTTTTCAGAGAAAATACCTTTTGGGCATTTCCTCCCAAATTTTTCTTAAACCAGGGCAAATATTTTGGCCCCAAACATGGAGCTTGAGGGGCTTGTTCTAATTGCATTTTGGTTTTACTTACCCTGTATTAGGATAAAGCAGTCAGTAGCCATGCTGCTTGAATTTATAATGTGTCTCTGGCTTGAGGCACTGATGCCTTTCTGGTCCCTAGGTTTAGACTTGTTTTCTTACCCACAGATAGCTCCAGTACTGTCCCTAACATGTAGCTTTTACAGAAGAAGGGCACTAATTTGGATTGCTGTTTTTCTGGGTGTGATGATTATGATTTATAGAGAGTTAACAAAGGTACTGGGGTTTGTTCAAAATGTGCATGGTCTGTTGTTTATTCGTCCTAGCTTCTGTAGCCTGTTTTGGGGATTTATTAGTAACTGCACCTAGTTTGTTAGAGGAGGAGTAGGGGATGAGGTTTCCCAGTCCTTCTTCTCCTTCTTCTCCTTTAAATCTGTTATGTCTAATCTACATGTTATTCTCACCTTTTGAGAATATTCCATTTTCCCTGAAAAGGACCACTTTCCTGGTGTTTTATCTGGTAAGCTTCCACTATACAGCCTGCAGCTTGTCTAGAGTGAGGGCTGAGATATCTAGAGGGGTTGAGGAGGCACCTGACCCAGGCATGGAAAATCCTGAGTGGTGTGGGGAGTGGGAGAAAATGGGTCAGACCCTGAAGGAATTTTCTGACCCAGTAGCCTGGGACTTTCCCTGTGAACAAATTCAGAACCAAGATGAGCTGGGGAAATATTTGCAAGAGAACCAGGACACCATGTTTCCTGTCACTAATAAACACATATTTACTCTGATGATCTCAGTTCATTTCTTAATTTTGTTTCTTTCATAATATGAAATGAATGCCTTATTTGATTCAAACACTATTCTTGTTACCTTTGAACTGCTATAAGTAGATCAAAATGCTCACATCACATATATGGACCTGTATGTTTAAATAAACCTGTTGCATGCAATGCTAGGAGTTAACTCTCTTTGAATTTATAATTAATTCATAAGCATTTATTAACATAATTTGCTTCCTGATGATATAAAGCATAAGTATGTAAGGATCTACTTTCCTCTGATAATGAAATGAGAGCTTTTTCTGTGCTGCTTCTCATTTGCTGTTTATGTTGTGGTCTGGAAAGGTGCTGAAAGCCTCAGCTTTCATCACCTTCAGTCAGTATCACTTGGTACCAGCAGGACTGAGTTCCTGCATTGTGGAGAGATGAGGCAAGAATTTGTCACATACACTATCACTTACCTGGCATGGGACTGCTTGTCCTTAAAAGAGGGACTTCAGCGTGACTTATGGGGATCAATACTAGTTGTGTGTGTTTGCAAGTGTCCCAACTGCTGTGTGAGCATTACTGCATGGCCTACACAGTATAATGAATGACATAACTGAGTTTTAATGTGCTTGGATAGAATACTGTGCATTCATTACCGTGTAAACATGAGCCTAGCTGATTAATTAATTTAGAAAATGTTCAGTTCTTCCTTTTTTCAAATGGGACACCTGATAAACTATGCTATGAAATCTCACTTAGAATATAGTTTAGTTTTTTAAAAAGTCTTACCAGATGCAGTGGTTTGGAAACAGCCAGGAGAGCATCAGCAGCTGCATGTTTTAAATGCATGTATATAAGTTTAATAATGCTGTATAAGTCATATTCTACTAAACCAACTGAATGTGACTAATGAAAATATTCCCATGATATGTATATAGTTTTTGTTGTATCTTTCTCTGTTTAGTGTTCTTTAGCCTGTGACTTGTCAGTGTGTGTTTTGTGATGTAAAACTGCAAACAATGGTTAAGAATAGAAGGTTTAAACCATCAAAACACTGTTAAGCTATACCAAATCCTGGGGTGCATCAGGCACAACATCACCTGCCAGTCAGGGCCGGTGGCTGACTCCTCCTCTGCACTGGTGCAGCCTCACCTTGAGTGCTGGGGCACTTGGGACACCTTAACGGAAGAAAGATCTGAAGCTGTTAGTGAGTGTCCCAAGGAGGGCTGTGAAGATGGTGGGGGGCCTTGTGAGGAGCGGGGCCTCAGGTCACTTGGCTTGTTCTGCCTGGAGGAGATTGAGGGGAGACTTCATCGAGTCTGCAGCTTGCTCATGAGAGGATGAGGAGGGGCAGGCACTGATCTCTTCTCTGTGGTGATCAGTGATGGGACCCAAGGAAATGACCTGAAGCTGAGTCAGGGGAGGTTTAGGTTGGATATTAGTAAAAGGTTCTTCACCAAGAGGGTGTTTGGGCACTGGAACAAGGTCCCCAGGGAAGTGGTCACATCACCAAGCCTGACAGAGTTGAAGAAGCAGTTAGACAATGCTTTCTGGCACATGGTGTGACTCAGGGATGTTCCTGTGCAGGAACAGGAGTTGGACTTGGATGATACTTGTGGGTTCCTTCCAACTCAGGATACTCTATGATTCTATGCTGCTTCAAAAGATTTTTAGCTATATAAACTTTCGTTCATGTTGTGGATAAATAGCCTCATACAAGATGAACATTTTACCAGGAAAAATCATTCAGATTCTGTTGAATTGCTCTGTCTGGTTTATCATGTATTTATCATTGCACTGTAACTTTAATAGTCACACTTTTTGATGCACCTGATTCAGACTAGCCATTGAATTGATGTTAATGGAGATCTATTGCCTGATAAATATTACAGCAGTAGGACTGGATGGCAGAAACAGGTCAAAGTTATTAAAGCCTTCAGCTGTTGCAGCACTTACACAAGGATGAAAGGGAAGAGTGCACTGGAGGGCCGCTGCAAAATGAGCATTTATTTAATAATGCAAAACAGAAGAGCAAACACCTAAAACACTTGCAGGTAATGTGGTGGCATTGCAGCTGATACAGGAAATGTCTCCTTATGTTTCTGTCATTATTGTTAAATGCAGTATACAAGAAATTTTCTACAAACAGTAAAACTGGAAAATTAAGGCAGCATTAGTTTTATGGGTAATTACCTCATAATATTATGGATTTCTGTGACTAGGGGGGACAAAAGCAGATGCACTGAGCCACGGAGACAGCTGTTACTCGCGATAAGCCGTTAGCTAGTTGGTCCCGGTTCGAGGAAAGCACACGTATTTTCACGGGATTCGGGCTAACTTAGTGCAGTGTTTAGTGTTTGCGTTTGCGGGCTGGAGAAATGGGTTTAACTTCCACCCTTCCACGGGCAGGAGCTGAAGTTATTTTTAAGAAACGGCGCCGGTGCCCCAGCGGGTGTGTGCCGAGCGGAGAGCGCGGGCCGGGCGCCGCCGCAACCATCCCGCCGGCGGCCGGAGCCCGGCGGGGCGGGGGGCGCGGCCTCGGAGCTCGGCTGCCGGCGCACGGCGGCTGCTGTTATGTAAATTACAGCCCCCGCCGCTGCCAAGTTCATGGCGACATTGGTCCTCCGGGGCATCGCCGCTGTCCGGCCAGGTTCACGTAGCTCTCTTTTTCCACGTGTGTTACAGGTAGGAAAATGACTCGCCCGGCACAGGAGCAGGAGTTATGAGCCATGTCTCAGTGAGACCTGCGGAATTAAGATCAAATGCCTGGAGAAGTCCAGTTGCACAGAGCAGCGCCACAGCTCTTGTGAACTGTGGACATCGACGCCTCTCAGACTTGCTTCTCTGGCCCCAAGCACTCTGCCAGCGCTTCCTGCTCCACGAATGGCTACTCAGAGGAAGCACTTGGTGAAAGATTTCAATCCTCATATCACCTGCTACATCTGTAAAGGCTATCTCATCAAGCCAACTACAGTAACAGAGTGCCTCCATACCTGTAAGTAATACTTCGCAAAATATTCTCTCCTTCATAAGTTGGTTTTTTTAAAGTGTTAATGTGTTTAATATGACCACTGTGCTTGTTTTTGTTTACTGAATTTTTACATTGAATATTTTGAATTAATCCAGTGCAAAATAGTCCCTCCTACATAAGTTGGTTTTTTGGTTTTTTTAAAGTGTTAATCTGTTTAATATGACCACTGTTCTTGTTTTTGTTTACTGAATTTTTACATTGAATATTTTGAATTAATCCAGTCTTTTCTGAAGTTTTCTAAACACTGGTCTGTAGTTTGGATTATCTTGAACTGTGTGCAGTTCTGTGCTCCACAGTGCAAGAGAGATATGGAGCTCCTGGAGCAGGTGCAGCAGAGAGTAGTAAGTTGATCAAGGATCTGGAGTGCCTCTCTTACAAGGAAAGGCTGAGGGAGCTGGGCCTGTTCAGATTCAGGAAGAGGTGTCTGAGAAAGGGCCTCATTAAGGTGTGTAAGTATCTAGGATGGCTGTCAAGAGGATGGAGCCAGGCTCTGCTTGGTAGTGCCAACAATAGAACAAGAGGCAATGGACAGAAAGTGATGCACAGGAAGTGCATCCACCTGAACATGAGGAAGAACATCTTTACTTTATGGGTGGCCAAGCACTGGAACAGATTGCCCAGACAGGGTGTGGAGGCTCCCTCATTGGAGATACTCAAGAGCAGTCTGGATGCAATTCTGTGCCATGTGCTCTGGGATGACCCTGCTTGAGCAGAGAGGTTGGACCAGATGACCCACTGGGCTCCCTTCCAACCTGACCCAGTCTGTGAGGGTATGTCAGCTCTGCTGGACCTGGCAGAGTACAGAGGCCCTAGGCTAGTGGAGATTGTGCTGGCTCTAGCACCTAACTTATATCACTGCAGCCTGTCTGATCACAGGTGAGATCATTAGGTCAGGTCTGCTCTGTTGATGATATAACCATGCTTGAAACTTAAACTAATGTATCTGTTGGCAGTATGTGTGTGGATACACTAGTTTGGTCAGTAGTGGCTCACTTCTCTCTAATGTGTTCCATGGCACAATGCAGAGAAATATTTGAAGGTGGCAAAATATTTACTTAGGGAATAGATCTCTTCCAATGAAGCTGTCTCAAGAAAAGTTGTTTAGGTTGTCTTCTGCTCCTACTACATCATCATACGTTGTCATGTATGAATTATATTAAATGTATGAATGGTCCTGTCAAACTCCTCTTACTTTCACAAGCTTATTTACATGTTTGGTTTTTTTGCATTTATTTCTGAATAGGCAGTAGTTTCACTGGACCTCCTTTGGAATTTGACATCTTTCCAAATAACATTTGAAGTCTTCTAAAAGAAGAGTAAGGGGAATTGTATGTCTTTTGGTAGATTTCCCATTTTTAAACCTTTGATGAATATCAGTTAAAAGTCTTGCCTTGGCATTTCCTGTAGTTGCTGTGCAGTGTTGTTCTTGCAGTTGTTAATGTCTTCACTGTTAATTTTTACAATTTGGTGTTACATCCCTACTATATGAAGCACACTGAGAATTAAAACAATGGAAGCCACTGCACAGCAGGAAAATTACAGCACAGTGGCCATCACAGAAACAGGCAGGATAACTCACACAAGTGGAGGGATGCAGTGGATGGCTATAAAACTCTCCAGAAGGGATAGGCAAGGAAGGAGACCTGGTGGGGTAGCAAAGGTTTGTTAGGGAGTGTTTTGAGCGTCTAGAAGTCAGTGATGGTGATGATAGAGTTGAGTGTTCATGGGTAAGAACTGGGGGAATGGCCAACAAGGCAGGTACCACGGTGGGAGTCTGTTATGGCTCACCTAACCACAAGGAAGGGGCAGATGAAACATTCGAGAAGCAGCTGAGGGAAGTCTCACAGTTACTAGCACTTGTTCTAGAGGAATATTTCAACTTACCAGATGCCTACTGGAAATAGCAGAAAGAAGACAGTCTAGGAGGTTCCTGCAGTGGGTGGAGGGTAACTTCTTGACATAGTTGGTGAGTGAGGCCCTGCTGGACCTGGTGTTTGTGAACAGAGGGGGACTGGTGGGTGGTGTGAAAGTTGGAGGATGTCTTTGGGCACAGCAATCACAAAGAGATAGTTTTCAATTCTTGGAAAAGTAAGGAGAGCATTTAGCAGAGCCACTTCCCTGAACTTCTGGAGGGCAGATTTTGTAGCCTGGTTGATGAAGTCCCTTGGGAGGCAGTCCTGAAGGGCAGAAAAGTCCACGGAGGTTGTATGTGCTTTAAGAAGGAAATCCTAAAGGCACAGGAGCAGGTTGTCCCCATGTGCAGAAAGATGAGCTGGCAGGGAAGGTGACCAGCCTGGCTGTACAGAAAGCCTTCTCTGAATCTTTGTAAGAAAAGTAGAGATTCTGAGTTTGGAAGAAGGAGCAGTCAACCCAGAAGGACTGCAGGGACATCATGAAGTTATGAAGAGAGAAAATTAGAAGGGCCAAAGCCCAACCAGAACTTAATCTTGCTACTGCCGTAGTAGACAATTAAAAATGTTTATATAAATACATTATCAAGAAAAGGAGTGCTAAGGAAGACCTTAATCCTTTATTGGATACAGGGGGAAAATAGGGACAAGGAATCAGGAAAAGACAGAGGTACTTAACAGAGGTAAATTTATTAGCGAGAGGTAAATATATTATTAAATTCTCTTTCCCTTTAAAGAAATTGGAAAAATTCCAGTATTAGCTAATTTTTTTATGCTTTAAGTGTAATGACCATTAACAACTTTTAAAAGGTTGGGGTTAGGGGAGAGCAGTTACATCAGAAATCAGATTTAAGAAAAAAATGTTTTTATTGTGGTATCTTTTTGTTTACATAATCTATTTTTTATTTACTTTTGGTCCTATTACAAAACAAGAATGGCAGAAGGAGCATTCTCTTCTCAGCAGCATCTGCTTCTTTTGTTCTTTTGTAGTTTGAGAGCTCTTCACTGGGCCAGCTCTGTCATTGCCTAGTTCCCAGGTCAGCACGTGAATTTTACTGAGCTGCCATATAGTTATGCAGGTCTTCTCACCAAAAAACTGCCCCACATTTGGGTTCTTAAGTAGAAATGCAAGAAAGAAGGTGGTGTTTCTTTAAAGCAGTCTAGTTTCAGTTGCCAAAATACAAAGATTACAGTGATGGAAAGGAAAATTTAAAACTTGAAAACAGTGGTGATAGGCAAATCTTATGTCTGCAAAGGAAAAGGTGATGGAAGAATTGAGGAAGGTATTCTACTAAGTTATCTTGTAGAAAATATTTAATATTTTTAATTTATTTTTTTTCAAATACAGGTATGATACCATACAGGTATGATTCTTCAGTATTGTCCAAATAGATACCACAGTATACAATTATTTTAACTGGCCTTTGGTATTTGTCTTGTTCTTACTAATTGCCATAATTGAAAACAGTGTTGTACAAATGATCAAAATCTGCAGGTATTAATGGTTGAAGAAGCAGTGTTAATTCATTAGATACTGGGAGTACAATGTATTACTTTGGACAAGATGAAAAGCATGTATTCACATAGATGTTCTCCAGTGATCATAGAGGAGCTAATGTGATCGGCAGTAACCAAAGCAGGGAATTAGCAGTTGATTTGCATATTATATATTTCTGGAAAATACTAAGTCCTGCTCTGAGAAATGAGTGCCTTTTAAATAAGAGATATTTCTGCTGGGGCTTTTGAAAATGTTGGACAGAAAACTCCACTGTTCACTGGGAAACCTAAGTGCAACTTGGGTACCAGAAGTGCAAACTTTCCTATCTCTGTTGGAAAGGAATCTGTTATGTTAGTGCAAAATTACTTAGTCTGCAAATTCAGTACTTCATTTCTTTTTTGCAACTTTCAACAGAATGGCTTTGTGTTATGGACTGAAACCTTTTTTCCTAGTCTGCTACAGAGTTGTTAAGGATGTTTAAGAACTACTGATGGAAGCAGGCTGTATGTGAGCTAAAGGGCATGTCCCATCATCTGTCTCCTGAGTCACTCCATTGTTTAGTACAGTGTGCACTTACAAAATTTGCAAAATAAACTTTCCTCAAGAACATTCTTTAGTATCTTAAAAAATAATGGGCTGTTTACACAATCACAGAAATGTTGGTTGAAAACACCAACAAACATCTGGAGTTGTCTAGGCTAACTTCATGCAGGACGCAGGTTAGTTGCCAGCACTCTACCAGGTCAAGCCATGTCTCTGTGTCATTGACATTTCAATTTCTAAGCATGAAGTCACAGCCTCTCTTAATAACCATTTCCAGTGCTACAGTCTTTATCTAGTTTTTCTGAATGTCCTGCCAAATGTCAACATTGCTTGTGATACTATTTGCCAGTCCCCAGAAGACGGGCTCCATCACTCCTGTAACTGCTGTTCAAATGGTACAAGCTATTATTACATCACCTGCCAGTCTGTAGCATGATTTGCTTTAGGCAAATTGCTGTTGCCACTTGCTGATTACATTTTTGTCCCACATATAGCTGGAAATTGACTCCAAGGGACATGATGTAATCTGCCATCTTCCCAGTGAGCTGGAGTTTAGCTGTACTTCCCTGGGCCATCCTTCCCCTCTTTATTACAGGTGGGCATAACACACCACCCTTTTCTAGTCATCGGGTACCTCTCATAATCACCTGATTAGGGTGTTAAGCTTTCATCTCTGTGAATGCTGTCTGGCCTGTAGATTTAAATACATCCAGTCTTTCTCAGTAAGTTTTAACCTGTTGCTCCTTGGCTGTTGATTATCCCTCTCCTTCCCAAATCAAGCTGGTATGCAGGGAGGATCAAGCACTGCCTGTGAAGGCCAAGGCAAAAAGATACTGAGGGCTGATAAGCCATTCCTGAGTTGTTTCCCTCATTCATTAACAGGCATATTTTGTCTAAGCTTCCTTCAGCTACTAGCATACTTACACAATTCCCTTGTGTCTCTCATCAGTTTTAGCTATGGCTGGGCCTTGGCTTTCCTACTTTTGTCTCTCAATGTCAGAGTAGTGATTTTATATAATTTTGTTTCCAATTCTTGTTTCATTCTTTTCTAATATGATCTACTTTTGCATATTAATTAGGAACTAAGCAATTCTTGTGCAGTAAGCAATTCTTCTGACATAATTCCCTGTACAGTGGACTGTATAGCTCAGCCAGCTCTCTTAAGTCTCTTTCCAATGATAGTCTCCTTGGGAAATCTGATGAGCAGTTGCTTAAACAAGCTAAAGTCTCATCCTCTGAAGTTCAGAGTCCTAACTGTGCTGTTTTAAGTGTGTATCATTTCTCAAGATCCTCAACTCATCTCAAAGCAAGCTGCTCTCTGTGGCTGTATTCATCACCAACTTTTCCCTGTTTATGAACAGGAGATCAAAAGGTACATTACTCCTAGTTGGTCTCTCTAATATTTGTGTTAAGAAATTGCCAGCCAAGGCAGTCTAAGAATTTTCAGAAATGTCCTTCCCTGCAGGAAATTTACCAGAGATATAATTTTCAATATCAAATAATCTTTCAACCAGAGTGGTTTTCAGATTTTGCTAAAAACCTATGCTGTCAACACAGGATCCCAAAAAAACTTCACTGCAGCAAAATTTCTCACCCTCAGACAAGCAAGCTGAGCTGCCTTCAGACTTCTTCTGCAGAAACTTTAGTCAATGGCATGTAGCAAGGCCTAAATGTTATTTTTAAATAGTTTTCAACACAAAAAGTCTTTCTTGGTTATTGCATTTTCTCTCCCTTTTAACAAAAGAAAATCTAATGTGACTGTGTCTGGAAGTAGTAATTAAGAGAGGAGTAGTCCCACTTGTATAGTTTCTGAAAAGGGTGGTTAAGTGAAGGTTTCTGTCCTGTTTTTAAGCAAACCCTTTCCCTAAAAGTAAGTGCTTTTAAAGCAGGCTTAAGGTAGATAATCAAATACTTCAGTAAACATACCACATGACTTGTTGCAGCTCTGTGCCATCAGTGAGATGGGTTTGATGTAGTTTGATGTTCCACTATCTGTGCATATCCTGTGCCCTTCCTTTGCTCTTTGAATCAGTGATCAACTTTAAGAGAGGAAATCCTTGGAAGAATTCAAAGGATGAGTTCTGACAAAGAATTTGTACCACAATTAACTAATTAAACATTATCTTGTAGAATACTTTATTCTAAAAATGCAGTATGAAGTTTTATTTAGGTATCTCATTAATCAACATTTAAACAATAACCTGGCCAGATACATATGTATGTAGATATTCATAAGAGATGTATTTTTTTGTTTGTTTGTGACATACAGCACAGTCTTGGCACTTGCATCTATGTTTTTCATCTGATTACGAAGATCTGAAAGAATGTGTGAACCAGATATCTCTGTATTGGAAAACAGCATTGTTATGCAGCCAGCCAATTAGCATATGTCACACAAGTACTTTTGTCAGCCATAGAAAGTCATCTTACATGAGTTTAACTTTTATTGTGTCTCTTCTGAAATGTCATTGTGCGACTATGAAATTCAAGGTCTCATTTCACTGGCATGTGTAGCACATACCTCAAAATCCTTCAAACTGTACATTTAGGTTAAGCAGTTTTCTTTTGCTTGTTTGTTGCCCTACCATGACCTACAGTAAAGCAAATGAAACCATGTTATTTTGTTAATCTGTACTGGAAGCATTAAAGGGTTTTGGTTCGGAGTTTGTTTTTTTCCGTAAGTTGGTGAATTAATGATATTTATCATTTAATTGTGTTTAAGGATTCCTTTTTTGCCTACCTTTTTCACCCAATATTTAGATTTCATCCCATTTTCTGAAACTGTAAAGAGATAGGCTTTGAAAAAAGTTCAGTGTTTTACATTGAGAGTAACAGAGGATGATTACACCTATCATATAGGAAAATATTTGGTTGATAATCCCACTAGGAGTATCATGTATTAGTTCATTATTCTTGCATGCTAGAATTTATATGTATTTTTTACCCTTATATTCCTGTTGGTAAATCACATTTAGTTTTGGTCAGCAAATTCTTATAGCGCATTAGCTCTACGTGAGAAAAAGCAAAAGTTGGTTAGATTACTTCAGATTACTACTCAAAAACCTTTCCTATACTGAAATTAAGCTCTTCATTAATCATTAGGTCCTTTCTTGGACCATGCATGCCTTCCAAGGGTGTCACCTCCTCTGAAAAACAGAAGGTATAAAGAGAGCAAAAAGATATATTCAGACTGAAGAATTCAGTTCCTTTCCATAGATTCGTTTACATTATAAATATTTCTTCCAATTACATTATTGTGGATATTAGCATGCTTTATGTTTAGCAGTATTTATTGTTTGGGAGATTTTATGGAGTCAATTTTCTGACTTAATTTAAGTGTATTAGTTATTGACCCCATAGCATGGAGTTCTTCTGAATAGTAATAATTTCAGCTTTCTTCTAGATGTAAATGAAAGCTATAGCTCAGGTAGGCCCTATTTGTCTTTAGTTTGGAAAACAAAAAACCTAGGAAGCATAAATGTAAAATATCTTTTCATGACAATGCAGTAAGAACAGCATCATCTCATCACAGACTTCAAGAACTTCTCTCATATCAGTGGAGTAGAAATCCTGAGAGCAAGTAAAAGGAATTAAATTCTCTTAAGAATTTCAGAAAGTTTTTCTAAAATGCAAGGAATTTTTTTCAGAAGGAGGCTAATTCTATTGCTTACAGAAAAGAAACCAAATCACTCTGGTATTAATGCAAAGCCCCTTCTCCTTTTGAAGAATTTTTGCTAATTCTCTGAGTCTCTGTTGCAAAAAAAAAAAATTCATAGAATGGGTTGGGCTGGAACAGACCCTTTCTGACCCTCCTTCCATGGGCAGGGACACCCTCCCCTGGTTGAAGTTGCTCAGAGCCTCACCCAGCCTGGACATTTTCCAAACAAGAGAAATTATGGGGTTGAGCTTATCAATTCTGAAATTAATATTGAAAAGTTGTAATTACATTTTTACAAAACTTTCCACTTTATTTATTCTTTATCGTTTTTACTTGGTGTCAGGCTAGAAAGACTCCACAGAGATGCTGCTGTTTATACCAGACAGAAGGCTTACCAAAAACATAAAGACTAACTCCTTCCTTTGTTATAGGAGTTAGCAGATGAAACTCCATTGAAAAACAGTTATCTTTAAGCTCAGTTTGTATGAAGTCAAGTTAGAAGAGGTCTAGAATAAGCCAAATTCTTCTGTTATTTGCCTCAGTGACTTTTAGCTGAATTTCCAGATGAGAGTAATTTACATCTGTGTTAACTTCACTATTTCGTCATCATACATGATCCTCAGCCCTTTTCCTCCCACACTCTTTAAACTGAGGTTTCCAGCTAATGGCATTTCTGAGACAGCTGGTGACTTGGTGGTTCATCAGTATTGTCCTCACCCACCACTAGCCCATACACCTTCTCCTGACACAAGCAGTGAATTCAGCACAATATAGATACCAGGATTAGGAGCTAGCAGGTGCTGCAGCTGAAAAGCTTAACTGGCAGAAGAGTTATTTTACAATTCCTTGACAATCTTGGGGAAAAAAGTTAATGTCTTTAAGTTAGTGATTTAAAGCAGCTGGAAAAAACACTTACATGGAGGTTTAATGTGTCTGCATTACCAGCATCAGCTGATTTCATATAACCCTTCTGAGCATTCTAAGGCAAAGACACATACAGTCTTTGTTTGTTAAAGGAAGTTCAAGATTCCTAGAGTTGTCTTATAATAGGATTTACCAACTTGTTTAGAGATGTTCATACTTGTTTAAGTAATTGATGAAAAAAATTACAGTGTTTCAGCAGAAAGCATATTGCAGTCACAGCAGTCCATTTATTTTTTCAGTCCATTTACTGATGAATTTGCAGTTCTTATTTCAGTGTAGGTGAATTAATAATAAGAAGAGGGTAGAGTTTATCTCCATCCAGAACATTGTTGTGCAGTAGTAATAGCAGACATATTTGTTCTCATCAGCTTGGCTCCCATAATTAATGACATTAAAATCTACAGTCTGTAATTGATCATTTGGAAGCAAGTGTAGTGTAGCACCTTATTTAGTTTACTTTCATTTGATTGGTTTTTAAATTCACAATGTTGTTGGTTTGGGTTTATTGATACTTGCCATGGTCCTGATCCTGATTTTTCATTATAAGGTTCAAATATTAAATGTTGAGTGTACATTCTCTCATTGCTTTGGAAAGCACTGTGTCAAAAATGAAACACTTGGAACCTGTGTACAATTTCTGTGACCTTTTCTCTTACAATAAGTATTTAAATCAGTATTTTCAATGGCAAGCAGCACCATTGAACTGATGTATGTAAGTTATTTCAGATCAGCTGAGGTGATGGTGGGCTCTGCTGGCTGAAGTTCCCCAGCACACACCTGAGAACCTGTTCTTTAAGGTGGTACAGGCTATGGGCTTCATGTGTTAGGATGCTGGGAGAACTCTAAGTAGCAAAAATATCTCATTTGAAGTGCTTGTCCAGCCTGTGCCGCTGACCTTGGTGTCCCAGCGGAGCAGAAAAATGGTTTTGGGGAACAAGAAGGGAATAAGATGTAATTATTAACTGTAGGACAATGCTCTTTTATTTCTGATGTATGAGGTAGCTACCAGGTATCATTAGGTCATACTTGAGCAATATTATTTAGATTTTGTCTAAGTGGGTTTTTTTCTTTTTTTTTTTCCTTCTCTGTCTTAGTTTGTAAGACTTGTATCGTTCAACACTTTGAAGACAGCAATGACTGTCCCAGGTGTGGCAACCAAGTGCATGAGACCAATCCACTAGAAATGTTAAGGTAAGAATCTATTTCACAGTATTTGCTGAAATGGAGGAAGAAGAAGAACAAAAAAATCTTAACTTCTTTATCCTAAAAGGGAAATAATTGTTTTTCTTATTTGTATAATGCATATCTTAACTGTTCTAAGCAATATAGGTTGTCATTTTCTCAGCTCCCACTGCATTCTAAATTAATTTTTTCAGATACAGTAAAAGGAGGAAACATAAGGGAAAGACACAGAAATAGTGCTTCTACTGTACAAGTTTAAAAAAAAAAATTAGTATCTCTATTAAACAAATAAATGAGCCAGATACCTTTTATTCTTTACATGAAATTAAATTCTAGAGGGTTGTTTTTTGAAATTATTCAGGGCATTCCAAACCTCATGGCAGCTTTTTATTTTTAGAGCAAGATATAGAAAATGAATCATATTAAAAGCAATGTCTTTCAGGGCATAAGTCCACCAATCTGAATTGAAATCTGCTGTAAGATTAATAAAAAGACACTCATGAAAAGAAGTTTTTTACATTAAAATACCCTTTTTTTGAGATTTTTTTATATTGTGTTAACACACCTTTTTAAAAACAATTATTTTTCATAAAATTTTGGATTCACTTTTAGTGATGTTATGTTGAAACAAAGATGATAAATATCTGATAAGATGGAAAAATCTGGAAATGTCATCATAAGTGGGAGAACCTCAAGTTTTCCTGGAGTGATGCCCTCACTCCCAATACCTCCACCCCATCCCCCAGCATTATTGTTTTGTAATACTGGTGTGAACTTAGAAGGACTTATTCTTACATTAACGTAAAAATATAATTTACATCTGGAATTTACTAGGCTTGGTATAATTTTCTGATGTCGTTGGTTTTATTATGATTTGTCATACATTGCTTTGATTTTTGACTGATCCATGTGTGCACAACCATTCCCAGTTATGTACCAAGAGCATAACTGAGAGAGATTGAATTCAGCAACTGTAAAGGGTGTTATTGGCCAAAGTCTTTGTCATCTGAATATTTTTGGAAGGGTGAGCAGGTTCATGTAGATTATTTTTCTGATTTCCTGTCAGTTTCTGAGGTGCTGTGTGAGTCATAACAGAATATGCTGTAGGCTACTAATGAGCTGAAAACAAAAGCATTTAGAAATATTTCTTTTATTCTGATAGGACCACTTCATATGAGATGAAAATGCATTTTCTGAAACATATAGTAGATGTTTAGTAAACAAATACTGTCCTTTGAGCAGGAAATTATAGATGGGTGAGGAAAGTTGAGAGCACAAGCCAGAAATGTGGGAAGAGCTATTTTCTCTGCAATTATTTCCTGAAATTCCTTTTAGAGTCATTTGGTCTCTTTGCCAAGAAACTGCATATAGTTAGTAGTTTCCTGGTTGTATTTTATGAACCAATTTTAAACATTTGCTAAACTAATAATCAGAAGGGCACGTGAGCCGTGCCCTGGAATTATCTTTCCTGGATGTTGCCTGCTTAACTTAATAGAAGAGTTAAACTCTGACCATGGAGATCAGCCCCATCATTGCTAAAGAATGCAGTCATTTTCTGAGAAATTGTGTCAAACACCACTTAGGAGTTTTAACTAAGATCTCTCAGATAAGCTTTATAAACTCCTTCTAAGCTCAGTTCTGAGTAACTTCATAACTATGTGAGCTTTTTGCATGTATCTCTTAGCTGGCAGCACTTAGGGTTTCTTGTAACTACAAGACTAAGTCTGAAATTCAACATTGAGCTCTAAAATGGAAATGTAGGAAAACTGTTAAACTTTATGAATTCCCTTTACTGATTTAGCAGAATTCTGCATCATCAGTACTCAATAGGGTCTGTGTTGATAGTGCCTTGAGGGCAGACTTTTCCTCTTCCTAACACACTCCTGTGCATGCAAGCTTTCCTGAGCAATAGTCCTAGCTTGGTTCACTTTTGATAATTATCAGAGTGTTGGCCTTGTGACTCGTTCAGTATTACAGAAGAGGTGAAAAAAGGAGCTATACTAAGCTGACAGAAATGCTTCGTTATTCTTTCTGTATGTTCTGGTTTGGAGATTTGCAAGATGGTTGGAAGATGTGGGAATGGAAGTAGGTGTCTGTAAAATATCAATGTTCTTTTTTCAGCATTAATGGGAAGTATCACAGTAAATGACTGAGACCACCTTTGTCAAGTTTCATTTTGGAATGGGTTTGATGTAAGACACAAAAATACAAATCTTCATGTCAGAGTGCTTGCATGTGTGGATTATGGGAACTCTGAAAGATGCATCTGAAATTGAGAGTCTTGTGATAATTTCATTTTTCCCCTAAAGTCTTAGTTTCTAGTTTCTATGCATTTCAAGATCAGATTGGACTATTTTTTTTTTTCCTGCTCCATGTCAGAGTATTGATTACTATTTATCCTCTGTAAAGAAATAAGTTTTTTTTTGTTTAGTTTTTGGAAAAAAAATTAAGTCATTGACTAGAGTGGGAAGACACTTCTTGCTTCTAGCATTGTAAATTTGCAAAGTATAGTGGATTTTTTTTGCTATTTTAGCATTACCACTGACTTTTGTTTTGGGCCATTGAAAGTAAGTTAGAAAGTGTTAAATGGGAATTTTCAAAAATAAATTAAAGAAAACTAGCATGTATTATACCATCCTCAAGAACAGAGGGATTTTTAATTAAGGTAGTGGCGTTCTCTTTTGAAGTCCTTATTTTATTTCTTTTAATGAGTAAATTATGAAGGTTGGAGCTTTCTTACAGTGTGAAATGAATTCCATTTCTAAGGCATGTTCCCAAGTTCCCAGTGCTCTGCTGTGGGTACCTCACAGAAAGCAGCACTGTGTAGTTCCCTCAGATACTGACAGAGGAGGCTGCAAGATCTGGGATCTACCATCTGGGAAGGTAGACCTACATTGTCATCTATCAGAAATCAAGCACTCAGACATCCTACAATTTTAATTTCCTTCTTATCTGTGGGAAAGTGCTCTCTCTGTGCTGCTTTATTTTATGGGAGGTATGATTCACTTGCTGAATTTTTGTTGTTGTTGTCCCCTTAAGAACAAGAAATTAAAAATGGATTGTGATTGTAGCTGAAACATGAATATTTCTATGGTATGACTGAATCTACTGATGGATGCCACAGGGATCTAGTCTCAGAACTTGATGGTTGATTATTGGGTCTAATTGTAAAGCACAAGTACAAATTCTGTAAGGAGAAACTTGAATACTCATATATTTCTTTTAAGATAATTGTTACCAATTTATATGGATTGTAGGCTTTCCCCAACAATAAAAACGTTCATTCTTACTCCTACTTTGCAACAGTTGGTGAACAAATGACAAAACAGCTATGTTTTTTTAACAGGCCTATAGTGTATCATTAATACCACGTACACATGAGTGTTTGCAAATATAAGTATATAAAGAAATACATTGTTATTGAGATGAAAAAATAAGGCAATTTAAAATATGCCAGATTCTTACTGAATGTCAAGGTACTTAATTTCTCTGCATTATTTAGTGGTTTATTTTGTCATGAGTTTTTGTTTAGGCTGTGGGCAAAGGGAGTTTCTGTAGATAAGATAGAGCATAAAGGGCAAAGGAGAGGAAGGGAAAGGAAATGGAATGAAAGCCAGAGGAAACTGAAGGATAAGAGACCAGGAGAGGAAGTAGAACTAGAAAGCAGATGATAAACTTAATGGATAGAAGAGTTGGCTAAATTCAGAGAAAAGAAAAGAAGAGTTTTTTTGCTTCAGCAACAAGGGTAACTTCAGTGTGTACACTGCAAGGGACTGTGATAACAAGTTTTGGCACTAATATCAGGGTATCAGAGGACATGCCTGTGCTGTGTACTCTCTTCTGGTGTACTACACGTGGCAGATTTAAATAGTTCAAATTAACTGTGCTGGGTACTGAGAACTGTCAAGTCAGAGCAGCATGGATGCACTGTGGTCGTTATCCTGCAAGAGTGCTTTGTCTGTGGTGTGATAAGGAGGGAATAGTCTGTTCAGTTTTTCGTGACAGGCTTATTACCAAAGCACTTCAACACTCAGTATGATAATGGAGTTTATCATTTTCATGCTTACTACTCATGAGCTGGACCTTAAAATTGGATACTACTTTTCCAGTCTGTTCCTTCTAGTAACATTACTGTTTGTGTGTAATACAAATTCAGAAATAAAATTTTAGAATATAATGCTTTTATCTTTTGCTTCATTCTTATCTTTATATGTTTAAAAAGTAATTCCTTAGTTATTTCTATGATAAATCCATTTAGGAGATGGTTGAGATAAGCTTTAATACGTGTTGTCTCTCAAACTAAAATCAGTTGGCTTTGACAGGATTCATTATTTACTAGAAAAATGCAACTCATTATTCAAAAGCTTTTGTTATTTAAACACTAAAAATACTTAAAATGCTAGTATCCATTTAATGTGAAATGTATTTTTTCCCTCTGAAAGGCTGGATAACACCTTAGAGGAAATTATATTTAAGTTGGTGCCTGGACTTCGAGAGCGTAAGTTCCTCATTTGGTTTTGGGAACTGTTTGGGTTGGTGGGGGGAATATGGCTCTTTCTAATTATATACCTGGTATTGATTTAAAAATTCACTTACTCTTACTGTTCTTTGATGTTAACTAGAGGAACTGCAGCGAGAGATCGAATTTTGGAAGAAAAACAAACCTCAAGAAAATGGACAAGGTGATGATTTTTTCCCTCTCATCTGTGTGTTAAGTAACACTGCTTATTAAGACCAGTTTCTTCACTGACACAAGTATATTTTGTTTTTCCTGAGTTCAAAGCTACTACAGAAACTTGTAGTGAATCTCTGCAGATGTGTGGACCTTCTCATACTTATCCATCAGCCAGTTGGTTAACAAACTAGCTGTTTTACCATTATTTTTATTTGCATTACCCTAGGCTCTCACTTGCAACGCTCTCATAATTGTCCAGCTGAATTCCTAATTTTCCTAATAGAGCAGGACAGAATTTTTTTACAGAGTTTTTACAAATTACTTTCTGTTACCAAATTTGACCATCTGTTAAGTAGGAGGTTGTCAAGAATTAGTTATGACAAGCAGTAAAACAGTTTTCCACACATGCTAAATAATTGTTTTCTATAGATCCCACAATGCTTTTTTGTTTCTTTCTTTCTTTTTGGTTGGGATTTTTGGTTTGGTTTTTTGCTTTGTTTTGTTTCATTTTTTGTAGTTGACCCATGAACTTTGAACCTCAGTACTGAGGTGGTAAGCGAGGACTAGATCCAGCTGGTTTTATGCCCCTTTAATTTGGCATCAAGTTTTTAATACCATAGCCTATTTGATTTGATTTTAAAGAACTTTTGAAATTCTGCTAAGTTAAAAAATAGCTATTTTCAGTAAAGGGTAACTGTCAAGTAAACACCTTATAATATTCTTCTGCATTCATTTCTTTATAATGTCTTCTTTTCAGCTTCATAACATTTAATTTTCTTTCTCACAAGTTTTGTTGACTTGCATTTGGCATCCATTGTGAGGGACAATGTTACTTTCTCTATTATATAAATACATTATGAACTGCAAAACAGTTTAGATGAAATTATATTCGTTTATTACAGTGTACTATGTAATGTATGCCTGTTCAGTTTTAAAAAAACTTACAATATATTTTTGTAAGATAGAGACATTTCTTGACTGTTTAGAAAATGGTCTTCTGCTATATACATACAAAGAATCAACAGATAATTTGCAAATTTGTAGAATGTGAACTTACTTTTGACCAACTTACACTTCTGGTTCTTACCTTCCTCTCCTAATTTAATGATAAACTCAATGGAGATGAGTTAGTAAGTGTAGTGAGAGCTTGGATTAGTTTTTTGTGAATGAGAGGAAGTCTCTAACTCCCAAATTATACTTTTGAGTAGCTACAGATGTATCCAGCTCCATTAGACTGTAGCCTGGGGCTGTGGAACTTTGTCTCTGCAAAGTATTTGAAAGTCATGACAACTCATTGATAAAAATTATGAGCACTTAAGCTGTTTTCTGCCACACAAAAGCATTTAGAATCTTGCCTAGGAAGAAAATATTTGCTGAGGATATTTTCATTTAGAAGAGACTGTTTCAGTTGTCAATACCATGCCCTGCAATCAGATTGTCACTGTAGTTTGAGAGTCTTTCAGTTATGTCCTGTGCCACAGGTTGCAGCACAGCTCCTAACCTAAGCATCTAAGAGCTGTAAAAAAATCCCAGGACTTAAAATTTTCACATATCAGAAGGAAAAAACCCCAAACAATAAACCATATCTCAGCCATTGGTGACTCCTGCAGGAGAGTGGTTACCAGAAAGAATTGATGAGTGATGAAATACTATGGTACAGAGAAAAAAATATTCATTGGTACTCTCCAGTCTGAAGAGAACAAATGCTTGTGACACGTGGACTGCACCTGCTTGATTGATAGAGTTTACTTCTGGGACTTTCAGGATAAAAAAAAAAAAAAAAATTAAAAAAATCTGTAGTTTGCTACTGAAAATTCTTCTCATAGGAAGATGATAGGAACAAAATGTATGTATGATACACATTCAAATAAATGTGTCAATAGTTAATAGGGACTTGGGGATAAATCTTTCATAATTAGTGAAAACTTAAAAATTGTAAGAGAGAAAAGTAATGAATATAGCTTAAAACTCATCTTGAATATGTAAAATGAACAAAGGCAACTAATTACTGTGTCAAAAAACTCGGTCATGGCTTGGTGTTTATTAAAGTTTACTTTCTATTTTCTCATCTGAACTCTTCTAAATTCCTTTAGAATCTGGTATGTGTAGGAAAGCAGCAGAACTTGATCTGAAAGTGTTTTAAAAAACATGGAAGCAGCTTATTCAGGCTGCTAATTTCAAGTTAATTGTGGTAATGTTTTATTCCAATAGAGAGGAACCTTTGTTTTAAATCAAGATAAGTAAGTTGGGGATACAGAAAAAAGCCAAATGTATACAATAAGATACAAATAAGATTATTGTATACTGTACACTAAATCTGTAAAACTTACTCCATTTTATGGTTATTATTTACATACATTGCAGCCTTATCTAGGTGTACTTGCTAGTCTTAACATTTGAGAGCTCAAGTTGGCTAAACCTTTCTAAATATACAAGACGGTACTTTTCCAAAGAGTTAGAATTTTAAACCAGGGACCAATAGAACATGTTAACAGCAGAGTGAAAGGGGATAACATTTTCTATGTGTTTATGTAGTTTGTATAAGCTTTGCTAAAAAATACACAGACCTATCATCTTTTCTTATATTTTTTTCTTTTTACAAGGGAGTAAGTAAATATATGGCTATTTACTTGTAAAATCTTCTGGAGAGAAACACCTGAAGTTCTTACAGTAGCCTGTTTAGATCTGGTCAGAAGTGGATGAAATCTAAGGTTTAGTTTACCTCGTGATTGCATTACAGGGACTTGTCTTCACTGGATTATTGTGACAGTTAATATGAATTGATTAGCCATGTTACTTTGATATATAAGTGTTGGGATTCGTCATTCTATTGTTAATTTCTTGTCACTGAACTGCCACACTATACAGTAGGTTTACACGTCTGAGTGATTGTGATGCATGCGGAGTTGCAGGGTTTTAATTACTGAACATATCAGAAGTACACAGCCATACCCAATATAGTCCATCATCTAATTATTTTCTGTTCCATAGAAGTCTGTTGTTTGCATATTGCATTGAAATTTCAACAGTAAAAATTTGTTTCCAGAGGTCTTTAGGTTGGTCAGTTTAAGAATTCACTGAATTAACACTGTGAAGTTAATGTGAAGAAAAATTATGGCTCATAAAAATGCCTTATTTTCTTAAATATATTATTTTTTTATTACTTTATACTTAAATAATATGATCTTCATATTTTACAGATGAAAGCCCAAAAGCTGATAAACCCAAAGTAGATGAGGAGTGTGATGAAAATGAAGAAGATAAAGACTATCACAGGAGTGACCCGCAGATTGCAATCTGCCTTGACTGTTTACGCAACAATGGGCAGTCAGGAGATAATGTGGTCAAAGTGAGTAGCAAACAAGCTGTGCTGTACTTATTGATGACAGAACAGCATCTTACAGGAACCAAATCCTTTTATAACCATTAAAAGTAAACCTTAATGTAGTGACCTATTCCCACTTACCCACTTATTTAGTCCTTCCCTTTGAGGCATTTCAGTGCATCTTTGGAATTTTGTGAAAAATACAGTTCTATACAGAAAGCCATCTGTGATAGTGGAAGTTTTGTTTGTGTGTGGATTATAGTTTTGTAGTCTACAGCCTTTTGATATATAACTGCATTACACAACAGATTACAGCACACCACAGAGGTATTTATAAGGCTAGCTGTAGGTGAGGTGCCTCGTACCTTCAGGATTACTGTCTTAACATGCCAGAATGAACCTGCTTATCAAATATGTGGTGCCCTGCATGACTGGGATCCAGATCTTCTGAGCTGTAAACCTGATTCTGACCCTGATGTGTTGTCTGTGGCCTTGGGGAGCTCACTTTAATCTGCAAAATGGGTGGAGTAATACTTGTCCATTGCTGTTTGAAGAATTAGGGATATTTGGTTTCTATTCCTGAAGGGGATTACCAAACATACTGAGTCTAGAAGAAAGTCTTTAGAAATCACCTTAGATTTTAACAATGTTTTATGAAATTACAAATAGAAGAATAAAAGGAAAAATATATTTAAGAACTTTTCTAATAAAGCTGTATTTTCTAAGTGTTATGTTACACATATAACTTTGGAGGTTCTTAGCACTTCTCAGAAATGCAACGTTTGTTTGACCCGCAGCATTACTAACACAAGCACACTGATTATTTAAGTTTTTCTCAGGATTTTGATGGGTTTGGTGTTAGCTGGGTTTTGGTTTTTTTCTTTCTTCCCTTCTGTATCTTTTAGAAATATCTTTAGAACTAGAGATGGCTCAAATGAACTTGTCATCTTTTACATTTTGAAAACAAGTGAACAAAAATAAACCTATGGTGTCACTATGAATTAGAAGAGAATGCAGTAAATTGGTTTCAGGTGTTCTTGCCCTAAAGATTGCTCACATTTTCCAGAATTTGTAACATGTTTTTTTTTTCTGATTTGTTGCTGTTGCTTTAGGGCTTAATGAAGAAATTTATCCGCTGTTCTACTCGAGTGACCGTGGGAACTATCAAAAAGTTTCTCAGCTTAAAATTAAAACTTCCAAGTTCCTATGAGGTACATTTGTAAGAAAGATGTTTGTATTTTTATTTCCCTGCAACATAATATATTTATATGAAATTTAATCATGTTTGAACCTGCTTTCCCTCTTTCCAGGGATACAGGAATTTAGACTGAAGCACAGACTGTTTCTTCAGCCTGTTCTCGTACAGGAGCCAAAGGCTCCATGCAGGGCAGGCTGTCTTTAACACCAGCAGCAGCTTCCCAGCTTTGGTCAGGGGTAGGGCTGAGTTAGGTTTGTATTTTATTTTCTTAGGTTTTTATTTGTTTTGTTAGGTTTGGTACACAGGTTATAACTATACACAGGAGTTTGTCACGGTGTCATGACATGCTGACCAGCCTTTTCAGTGTTATTTGGTTTTTAATCTGTCTGGTACCTTAATGGCTGGTGTTACAAAGAAACTGCTTACTTCAAAATTTTTACTTTTTTTTTTGTCTAAAACCCAGAAAATATTACAGCTCTAATAATAAAAATACTGCCAAACATTTGCAGTGGCAGGCAGCAGTAAGATGCTCTAATACAGTTTAAAGTAGACATTTTTCACACTGAGATCACTGTTTTTCTCTGTCTTTTGCTTTCAGTTAAGGAATGTCTGTATACTTTGAACTGCATTTTTCTTGTAATTTATAGTTACTTTTAAACTAATTTTTAAAAGTTTCTTTATAATCTATTTTTAAAATGAAAATTACTGTACTTCTGGTTTATATCTTTGGGTTTGAAATAGCACTGGCATAGCAAGGTGGCCTTCAAAATACAGCACAAGGCTTTCTCTTCAAATGGATACTGTCTAGTGTAGCTAAATTTAGGGAATGTTTGTCCACTGGTGATTTCATACCTCAGTAGCAGACTTCCTTCTGTCCACACTTCAAATAAAAACACAAATGTGAAAAAATACCAGCTGAATGCCAGGGTACAAAATAACCTATTGTCAGCATGCTGTATTCATCCAGGTTTGATATATGTGTCTGATAGAATTGTTGTATAATGATAGGAGTGGAGGTATTAACTCTGGAGATTCACTTAGCAGTTCATTTAGACATTAAAGTTCTGCATCCCTTTGTCTTACTGTTTGTTCTGTTGTATTTTAAGCTGGATGTACTATGCAACGGAGAAATCATGGGGAAGGATCATACTATGGAATTCATCTATATGACAAGATGGAGACTAAGAGGCGAAAACGTAAATGCTGTTACATTATTGATAAATGATCTTTTGCTGTATTTATTATAGAAACTACACATGCTTTCAAATCTTAGGCCCGAATATAATCTGTGACCCTTCAAAAAAGCCCTATTTAAAAATGCCTGCATGGTTTCTGAATTTCTTATGTAAAACACTATGGGTGAAACCCTTCAGCACATACATTGTGTAGATTTGGAAACTCTAAATAGTGGGTGTATGATGTGTACATGCAAGTTTTGCTCAGAGTTTTAAGTCAAGTAACTGAAAACCCAAGCCCTTGTTCTTTTTCAGCAAATTTGCTTTTGGTGACCTTTTGAGTTACAGTAGTTGGGGAATCTGCATCCATTCTTCAGTAAGAACCTGTTTTATTCAGTCAATAAACTGAAGGTGACACTGAAAAATTACCAGTGAAATTTAATTGTTTTATTACTGTTTCTGTTAATACTAAATCTATTCTTTTTGGATATGCTGTATAACAATGACATTGAGATAACAGCCAGATGGGTTTTCCTTGCTGCTTGTGTATATTTTAGAATTGCAGTATTTAACATTTTAAGAGACTTTTTTTTTCAGAAATAATATTCAGTTTGGTTTAGTATTGCTTGTATTTTTTTTATTAGAAGTCATATCCCCTTTTCTTCTCTTTCTTTTATGCATTTGTTTGTGTGTGCCTGTTGATTGGTCTTCACTCTTTATTGCTTTGTAGTACATGCAAGTCTGACGATCATACTAGTGGAGGCTAAATTAGAGTGCAGCTAAGGTTAAGCATTTAACATACCTTAATGTACTGATCTGAAGAAAATTCCAAACTTCTTCTATTCTTCTATTCTTTTTTTGTTTTAAGCTTCCTAGTGCTTAGAATATTAAGTGCTGGGGCATGGACAGAGAAGACAGAGGATTAACACACTGTAGAATTAACAATTCACAAGTTTCCTAAAGTTTTACCTTAATCTGAAGCTGGAGGGGAAAGAATAAATTTTAGTAGGAATTAGGGAGGTCAATGTATATAGGCAAGTATTCGATAAATTTGAAAGTAATATTGCACTGAAATTTGGTGATTGCTGAAACCCCCAAGGGAGCTTTAACTATATTTTTTCCCAATACTGCCTTGAAACCAGTGAATGTCTGTTTGGTTTGCCATCTTGTATTTTTGTTAGCATTGGCTGTCCTATTAGGAAGTGTTGAGGCAACAATTTCAGCGATAATGGAATTTTTTCATGGCATTTCATCCTGCAGCCCTTGCCTATAAATCGACTTTTGGCAGCTGCATGAAATTGGAAGCAACAGTGACTATGTTCTTGATTTTAAAAAATTTGCACTAAAAATTTTCAAAAATCTCAGAACTATAGTTTCTAACATTTAGTGAATACAAGAGTTCACAACTCCTGATTAATTTTGTAAGTGTATTTATAGTCACACAGTATAGCCAGGTATGAGTGTTCATCTTCTATTTCATGTAGTTTTAAATCACACCCCTGAAGGCAAAGATGATTAACACCTCTAAAAATTTAATTGTGCTGGTAATAAATCCAGTAATATCTAGGCTTCTATGATTTTGTTTTCCTCAATGAAGTTGCAATGGTAATCAATTAACAATCTCTTCTTCTGAATGAAGATCAAGTGAATCCATTATCTTTGTCTCTGGTACTATTGACCATGAGCTTTTACTGCATAGCTGTGGACCTTACATGAGATAGACAGGAAAAGGGAAGAATATCCATTTGTTCATTAAACAATTCTTTCCTATTTTAAAATAAGTAAATTGATTGTAACCTTTACATTTAAATTTTTTTTTTTAAAATCAATAAATGGTAAATGTGTATGTCCAGCTGTGGATGCCTCTTATCTGATCAGAAAATCATCTCCTTCGCAGTTTCGGTGTCAGAACTGCTCATCTTCGCAAGTCTGCTCACAGGATGGCACTTTCTATCAGGTAAGAGGCACTCACGACTGTGCATATTACAGTCATTAGGGTCCTGCCAGCACCTCCAGTGTATTTCAGCTTGTGGAGTTTTTATAATTCCTCAGTGCAAAGTGCTAAAACTCTGTGAGTGAGGTCTGAGCATTTTCATTCCTGCAGCACAAACTTTACTCAAAAGATTTAGTAGTCTGTCTTACTTTGCATTAGGCCAGTTTTTGTTTGTGATTTTTTTTGAGAGATATCATATGGTTGATATCCATATCAGCCTCAAAGGATTATCTACCTCTTCCTATCTCATTCCTTTAAGTGTTGGGCAGTCACTGGCAAGGGATGAAAAATGGAGAGTGTGAATTAAGAGACTACATTGGTTTCATCTCTTTATGGGAATTCATATATCCTTTTTGATGAAGTAAAAAAAATGCTAGGTATTTCTAAACCCTGTTCCTTTCACATTTTTAAAATTAGTAATGGAATAATCTCTAGAAGCAAAACCTTCAGAACCTGCAAACTGAAGCTGATTTCTAAGTTTCACTGACCAGTCTGGTTCCCAACACTATTTGAAACAGCATTTCAGTTTCCTTATTGAGAATTTTTATTTTAACTGATTTCTAAAAGCTTGGAATACTGTTTGCAACTTTGGAATATTATTTTTGTCTTGAGTAAAAAATTAGAGCTAGTGGTAGAGGGTCACTCCCCACTAGCGATGGAAGTGAACTACTGCACTCATGCCTCCTTCAATATTTAGAATTGTCCTGCATAGTGCATTTGATTTGTACAGTTTTGTGATTTTGTTTGGTAAAACACCGAGCCTCACTGGTTTACTTGGCAATTTCAGTGTGGTGATTGCTGTGTCTCTGCCTGTGTGCACTTTCAATTAGATCTGCACACTTTTAGATACAATTTATATACTCAAAGTCAAAATGTGGAACAGCATTTAAAAGAAATGGTAGTCATGTCCTGTGCAAAGAAAAAATTAATCAGAGACCAAGTAATTTATGATACCACAGATACATGTTTGTTAATTGCACATGCAGACTACACATGGTGCTTCCTGTCTTCTCTCCTAAATACTCCTGGTATTGCTAATACCTCTGGGTTTACCTTGTGATTTCTCTGAACTCCAGTTTGTTAAGCCCCTGCAAGTGTGGTCACATTTAGTTCTGATGATATTTCACTACCATGGCATGGAAAGTTTACTAACCCTGTAGGTCTCTGGAGCTATATCTTTGTTTCTTCATCTCTGTTGTATTTGATAGATGAAGCAAAATGTTTCTGGTTTTAAGGATAGCTTCTGTAATAATTCTTTGTATTTCCAAATTTGAAATTAAAAAAAAAAACTTAAATTAGATTTCTTTCTCTGTTTTATAGCATAGAGGTATTTAAGGCCATACAGCTGCCGAGACAATGATATTTGGCAGGGTTTTATGCTATAGAAAATATCCAGTATGCTAATAAATTAAGAGTAAAACTTGAGACAAATGAAATGCTGACAGACTGAAAAATAAGAGGTTGAATAAAGTAACAGTTTGAGCAACAAGTGCCCAGATATTCTATAGCCCTTTTGGGAAACCCATCCACTCTTGCCTTCCAATCCACTCTATCCAATTTAGGGACCCAAGAAGCTGATTTGCTTTTTTTTTCTTTTTCTGTTATTTGGTTGTTTTTTTTCAGTAGGAATCAATAGAAACTTATCACTAGATCTGAGGTTAAGGAGTTTGGATTTGGGGAGAATGTCATCTCTCAGAAAACCAGCTGACAGCAATTTGACCTTTTTTTATAGTTTAGCTGTGGAATCTCTGTATCTACATTTCCAAGTACATCACCTGTAAATACACTTTGGTTTAGAAAGTATAAAATGTCAAGAGTGGTTTTTATCAAACACAGCAACACAGAAAGACGACTTGTGTGAGCACTCCCAAGTATAAATGTAGCAAAATATAAATATTGAAATATATAAAAGCAGATACAGAAACTGTATATCAGTGACAAATAGCTAATAGATTTGAAGTACAGGGATGGATTTAACTGTTGAAATGTATGGAATTATTTCATATAAATAATCATATGCATCTGTCTTAGAGATAAGGTCTGGCTATTCTTAAGGCAGTCTTTAATTGCATTTTCTTTGTATTGTTTATGAATCATGTCTTCATGCTTTCTTGTCTGTTTTTGTTGTTGTTTTTCCCTTGCTTGTTTTCAGTCTTACCCTATGGTACTTCAGTATCGACCTAGAATTGACTTCGGTTAGACCAAAGGGCCAGATCCCACTGAGATGAATCCTGCACTATTTGTTTACCCATCGACAGATTGCACAATGAATGGATGTGCCTGGATTGGGGGGACAGCCAGAATTTCAGCATGCAAATAAGGACATTGTCTTTCTTAAAATTGTCAGTTGCATCTCTGTTGTTTCTATTAGAGCAAGCCAAGTGCCATTCTGCTACTGAAATGTGCATAAGATATTTGTGCATCTTAAGAGTGTGCTGCAAATCATAGCCAAAATCATGAAGTGTACAGTCAAGACTCAAAACCTATGGAATATTTTTTGCTTGCGTGTTAGAAAATTTTTCTGGTCCTAATATTGATTACACTAGCAAAATGGCAGAGTGCTCATTCATGTGGTGTTGGAGTTTCACACACTTACTACTTTACTGAATATTGTTGTTTAAATCATAGAGTACTGTAAAAATAACTAACCTTGACAATATTTTGTATAGAAAATATATTTAGAAAAGTGGTGATTAGGCCACTACCTTTTCCTTGATAAGGTTCTCATGGGTCCAGGTATAGCTCACTCATGAGTGTGCAACAGTCCTTTTGCAGTGAATGAAGATTAATTACACTGAACAAGAGATGTAGAACATGATAATTCAAAATAGTAATTTTAAATCTTAAAGTTGCTAATATTGCTTGAAAGCATTGTAGCCTTTGTGATTGCACTTTCCGGTGGTCTCCCTGAAATTTGGAATTTGGGATACTAGCTATTTTTGGAAAAATGGCTTCTGGTCAGATTACATTTCTTCTAATAAAGCCTCCATAATATGAAGGTAAAATAATACAAATGTCTATGGAACAACTAAATTCTACTACAAAATTGTGACCAAGGCAAAATTTTTCATAATTACTACTTTTCATAATAAATATTTCCTTTTAAGATTGAATAGAGGTCTATAATATACAAAGACAAAAAAAAACTATATAGCTTTAATTACATACTGTATCTCTTGTGACTATCTGGAGTTTAGTATTCATTACAGAAATTTTCATTAGTTAAAATCACATCATAAAACTATTTCCATAAAATTAGAGATAATGCAATACTGAAGATTAGCAGTCTGACCAAAATAATTGTTCAGGTCATTTTTTTTTTCATAAGACCTGGTAGTGCTGGATATAAGGTGATTGTTGCCTTAGGTATTACAAGCATAATGGTTCTAGTATGGGATGTTCCTTGAGGTTTTTGGTAATGTTGCAGGGAGCATAGCAATGTGTATGTTTTCTGTCTTCCATTGTCTTTGCTTAAAAGTCAGTTGAGTTTTTCTGATCAGATTCTCTAGAGGTACTTATAGTTCAGTCATGTTATGTAATTTTTACTTAGTTCATGCTTGGTGATGTTGTAGATAGCTATTTACTTTCTTTATGCCTTTTGCATACAGCAAAAAGGAACCAAATCAATTTTTCACAAGCTACTGTAGGGTGAACTGATCATTCTTTGATAGACAAAGTGAAAATTCTTTCTTGGGATCAAGTACAAAAGATAGATGTAAGGCTGTAATTCCTTTGTAAGCTTATGTTCATGTACAGTAGTATGTTCTGTAGGAGAAATAAGCATGTTGTGGATTAGGTCTGGCCCCTTTAATGTTGTTAGGCATTCTAACATTGGTGACTCGAGAATCCCATGAAGTTGGGTTGAATCCTACCACTGCACTCCAAAGCCCATACGACATGCAGAAATCAAGATGCTGTCAATAGCAGTATCTTAAGGAGCCCTGCCATTACAGGTCAAGGTTTCACATATTGTGGAATGCCAGTGGAACTGGGGAAGGATAATGTCTAGGAAGAAGCTGCTGCCCCTTTCTGCAGTGTGCTGGCCAGCACAGGCACTGCTTTGCCCAGAAACAGGCAGGAGGGATGTGCTGGCTGCAGAGAGCAGACATCCTACTGCCCACCCAGTCAGTGATGCACTACTTGACAGAAAGAAGATGCTCCTTGTAGGGAGGGCCCTTCTCTAGGGAAAAATAGATTCTTCTTGTACATAGAAGTCCACCCCATGGAGCAGCTTGGAAGAGCAGAGCATGCTTTCTGATTGAAAATCATTCTTCTCTTTAGTATATACAGTTGTTTTGTATAGTAGAAATAGGATACTATTTGTAAATATTTACATGCACATACCAATTACACCTTACAATTTTTATATATTTCATGTGTTTTTATACCAGAATTTTCACTGTAAATTTGCTTGACATAAAACACCTGTCTCAGTTTATCACAAAACTAATGCTAGTATGCTTAAGCATAATTTCTGCTTGGTTCACAGCTCAATTTTTTTCCTCAGCAATTTTGAAAAAAATTGAACAGATTTGTTTTAAAAAGACAGGAACATACAAGTTTTAATCCATCCACCTAACAGGACCCTTGGAATAGCAGTGTTTTGCTTGGCTTTGGAATGGCAACTGATAGAAGCTTTATTTGATTGTTTGATAATTTCCTGTACTCATAATTCAGAGAACCATGAATTTTCTCAATCAGAGATGGACATTGGTTTTGATCCCTGGTATTTTCTTGATGCAAGTTAAAGCTAGATTACAGAAGGTAAATCTTCATTTTAAGCTTGGAAAATACTGGCAGATCTGAGCCACCGTTCCCAGCTGTGAATGGTGGCATTAAATGCATATGAACTAACCACCTACAGTTTCTGCATTTCTGATTTGATGGCATGGTGCCTGACTGCTGCTATAGTTTAATCATTTTTGTAAAAGTAAAGTGCCAGTGACATGCATATCTTAACTGGGCAGCTTGTGCAACATCGGCACTGCCTTCTTTACAGGAAATTTTCACTCATATAGTACACACGTGCCATGTCTCTACAGCTACACAGATTTAATTCATTTGTGCCAATTAAGAGTATCTGAGCACCATAGGAATACGAGAAGAATGCGTGTGCAGATTCCTGTGTGCCAAAGATGGGGTAAAGTGAAATGAGTACCTAGGCATTCCCTTCAGACTGCACCATATGCCAGGCTAGAACTGACGCCTGGATAAAGTCACACTTTCTGAGCATTTCCATGACAAGGTGTCACCACTGCATCCTTGTAAAACATAGGAATATAAAATAAGTGTTGCTGCCACTGTGTTTCTATGACTTTTCCATATTAGCAGTATCTAACTGCAGAGAGACCTAAAAAAATCCACACTACTACCTAACCTTGCTGTCCCTTATTTAGCACATTTGGTGCTGCTTGGATTTTTTTCCCTAGAAGTGAAAACTCATTAATGAAAATCATAAACAGCTTTGTGTTGAGCATTGCTGGTTGCTGCATTTATCTAGTAACAAGCCGTGAGCTAGAATATAAAAACAAGATCTTGTGATATCTCAAACAATATGGAATTAGATGATTAATCAAGAAATGTATCTTCCATGATGCGTTACTACACTCCTGGTAACTAAGGGCCTAGCCCTATGAAGGTATTTTTGCATGAAATACCAAATAAGATTGCTACAATAACTGAAGTGACTCATCACTATAGTTGGTATTGTTCACATGAAAGCTTTGGGGATTTGGGTCCTAGGAGTCTGCAGTGCAAGAAGCATATTGTGCATACTCAGCTAGCTTGCAGTTATGCAAAAAAAGTTACACAAGTATTATCTTGACTTTACTGAAAATGTTACACAAAGTGAAGTGCCTGATTGCTAATACAGAATACCTTTCAAGCCCATTATTTTCATTTGACAGGGTAATATTTGCTTCTGAATTTTATCTATGCTCCTAATATTTTCAGCAAGAATATATCATAAGCATACTGTATTGAGATGCTTTCATGGGAAAAAAAGGATAAAAAGTGTTCTTTTAGATAGTTTAAATTAAAACCAGCCTATCTCAGTAGAAATTATATTAAAATAAATACTTTTATGTTGAAAATATTCCATTTTCTGCATGAGGAGCCCTTTTATTCTGGATCTTGGTCTTTTTTTCTCCGTAGGTTTCAGCAGCTTGATTTGACTTTTCTGCTCTTATCACAAGCAGTTCTGGTGTATCTGCAGGAGGAAAGAGACTGATCCCTTCCCATTCCATTTAGATACAGCTAGGCTCCTACTGCAGACAAAATAATGGTCCAGAGTTCCATCTCCATCTCATCACTCCCATGAATAACTGGTGTACATGACTTAGTGAGAGAAGTAAACAATTTTTTTCTTCTTTGCTGTTTAAAAGAAATAGGTCATGGCTTAGTCCTTTAATTTAACCAAGTACTGAGTTGTATTGTTTGCTGGTTTTGTACAGTTTCATATAACTGCAGACAAGGGGTATTTATTCAATCCCCAGAAAAAAAAGTCATTCTTGAGAGGACTTTTAAGAAAAGGCATAGCATCCAGCTCAGCCAGATTTTATGTCTGGTAGAAATACTAGAGTATAGGTAGCTGTTCAAAACCAGTCTTAAGTCTCAAAATAAGTAGATTGAGCCTTGTTTATAGAAGGGCTACATAAAATACTGGTTAATAACATTGACTGATCAAACTCATTTTTGTCCTGGAAAAGTGCATATTCCCCTCTCATTTTACTTCATGCTTTTTTGACTTATTATTTTTCTCAGTTAAAACGTCTAAACAGGCACCCGCTCTCCAGTAATTAATTCTAGGTTCCTGTACATATTTTGGCCATTCCCATACTGCATCCCATTTCTTACCCAAAAGTCAAAATGTTAAAGACTTATGAAGGAGAAATTGCACATGAGGTGTCAGCTCACAGGTTGCATTTATCGGGCAGCTCTCATGGATTTCAGCAGAGTTTTCACAGCTCTGCATTTTCAATCCTTTACAGTCAATTTGAGCAAGGTCATGCCTTCTGTACAGGTTTCAGCTAAAAACATTCTTTGAGGAGGGATTGTAGCCTACTGGAGTGTGTTCCAGGATGAGTTCCAAGACACGAGGGGATTGATTCACCTGAAGGAAACGTGAAAACCTCCAGCTGCACATTTACCTCTAACTTTGTCACATAGGGGTTGTCTGTCCTTCAGACCTCAGCTGAAACATCCTGTGCAGCAATGTCCTTCAAAAGATGATCTTGCAATGTTGAAATATTTTTCTTCATAAAGATATCTACCTATTGATCTTTTCTACCTTCTATCTACACTATCTGTAGGTCAGATTAAAACCTTAGGTTCCAGAATAGGAAATTAATTAATTAATTAATTCCCAACAGATCCTTCCATCCAAGGTATGTGCCATAAATCTTTTGCATTCGGGTAGCTTTTCACTACAGCTGAGTAAGGATGTTGTTTCATTCTCTAGTAAGCAATTTAGATCTCTGTGGTCCTGGAGTGGGGTGGTGAAGCAGAGAAGCTCTGTACATGGGTAGAGATGTCCACGCTATCTTTTGTATTTGCAGTAGACAAAGTTGGTAAGCTCAGGATGGAGGAGAAATTCTGGAATGAAAGATGTCTGTAGAGAGGTAGATTTTGCTGTTACGTTAATTTTAACCAAAGATAGGCATTTGTTTGACTTTGCTTGCTTTTCTGAACCATTAGGTCCTCTTCTTTGAAGTAACTTCTGTGTGTATTCTTAGGACATGCTTCTAACGTGGCTGACAGTTGACAGGATGAGGTGAACAGAAGTAGTTACTGTGCATTTTCCTTTTTCCTCATGACAGTCAATGTAAAGCAAAGAGTTGAGAGTAGATCACAATGTACAAAACAGCTGCACAGTAAAATGGTTTTGCTGCTAGTTAACATACTGAGGGTTTTATTACAAATGAAGTTGTAATGAAGATGGTTATTGTCAAAGTGCAAGGCACATATTTTATAATGGTATTCTACTCTTAAAATTCAGTTTTGTACTATATTGAGTATGGTAGATATTGTTCCTGTTGTCTCCTGAATTTTGTTGTGGTAAAGAGAAACATGCTCCATTTTTACTGAAAAAATATCACATACTTATTGATTTAAGATTAGTCTTTGTTGTCAGATACTTTGTTTGTTCTTAAAAACTAGGGTTTTTTAAAAATAAACTATTTTTATGGATAATCTGATTGCCTAATAGTTTTAAGGGACCTATTTAATACCAAAGGTAACGCCACCCAGAAATGAACTTGGAATAGGACATTGACACTTTCCTGGAGAGCCTGAATGGTCAGGAGGTACCTGGAGTCAATCAAGCAGAACTGAACCAGTGGCAGTTGTCTGTGTCACCAAGTTAAAGGGTTAGGCACACCTAGCAGTTTCCAAAACAAATTAGAAGAGAAAAGAAGCAACAGGAATAGCATTGAGGTTTAGTCAACAGACAGAGAGTAGCTCTGAGTCCTAGCTCATGTTCCTGAAGAAAAGCACAAAGGCTTGCATTTACTGATGTGTCTGCTATACCTGGCCTGTGAACTAACAAAAAACTCAGTGTGCTGTCAGTCCTGTAAACCTTCCAAAGCACAAAATAGTCACCAAGCTACTTTTGGGGTTTCTAGTCATAGTTCAGTGATATTTTGGAGGGTGGAAAGGACAGATTTGGAGGATAATGAGAAGATATTAAGTATGTTTAACAGATTTTTATAGCTATTTTTTTAGCAAATGGCATTGCTGTCCTTTATGTGAGACCATTGATTAGTAAGAAGTGATTATTTTGCTTGTGCAGTATAAAACAGAGAGAGTAAAAAAATCCAAATTGTCTTGATTTCCCTTTTCAGGATAGTGGCTAACTAAACTGGAAAGTAATAGGTCAATGTAATTATTTAGCTGGCTGAAAGATTTCACTCTAAATACTGATCATATTTTTTTCTCAAATAGAAGCTTCTTAGCACAAACATGAAGCAATGCATCATTTTTTCCCTTATTGCAGACTTAACTATTGAAAGGAAAATATTTTGCATTTTTTTAAAATTAATGCAAAGCCTGAATTGTTGGGTGTTCCAGGCTACTGAATAGATGATATAGAGTTACTCTCAATGGATTTTTTGGGGGTGGGGGCCTAAGTGTCCTTATATAAGCTGTGATCCAAGTTAAAAGAAAGGAGCCTATGGTGAGCAGTAATAATGTTCTAATGCTTCCTTGCATTTGATCAGTAGTTACCCGTTTTTAATAAAGCAGCCCTCACAGTACTTAGGAGCTCATAGAACATATTGTGATCTTAAGTTGCTAATTTGTTTTAAAATATAAAATGTTTTAAGCTTTTTGTCAAAAGTGATAACATCCTATTACAAATAAACCTTTTTGTGGTTGTAAAATTTAGCTTATAAATCATTCAAATTGAAGTGAAAAAAACACAGGTCATTGTTAATGACAGTCTATCCTACTCTTACGAATATATGTATTTTTGTAAAGGAAAAGCACTTGTAGATATTTAATCAGTCCAATATCTATCTATGTTAATGTTTTGGAAAAAAAGAAGAAAACAAAATGCTGCTTAGAGAATCACTTAAATATTTTTTATTTTTTGTGCTCAAATGCAATTTCTGTTGATTTATGGAATGTTTATTCTGTGTGAAGCTGTATAGTTAGTACAGCTGGGCTAAATGCATTTCTCACCTTAATCAATTGTATCTGACTATGATAATATATTGTGTCCAATCAGAAAGCAATTGCAAAACACAGGCTTGTGGTGCTGTTTTTCATCTTTGATATTAGCTTCATCCTGCCTTATAACTTTTCTACTTCATAATAAGTTTAAAAAATCCTAACCATTTTTTGTGATGCATGTGTTTCAATGGATGTTTCAGGGTATATCTGGTTGTTTAGTTGAATCTTACTGTTACTAACATTTTTATAAGATGACAGAATTTTACATACAGTATTTAATTATCAGTCCCCTGGGTGAAAAAGTATACAAGATTAATCAAGTTTAATACTTACCTTCCTTCAAAGGAAGCTACTGCTGGGTACATGCATGGAATGTGAGTGCATCACTAAAGATTCTGAGAACTTGTGCTAATACTATTTTTAAAATTCAGAATGATTCACTTCTTGTAATCTTTTTCAGCTGTTTGAAACCTCACTTTCAACTCTATTTTGGTTCATCATAATGCATTAACACAGTTTAAGGGAAGAAAAAAATACAGTAAAGAATTTTATTGAAGTATAGTAAAGAGTGGCAACCATATTTGTTTGTGTACGTATCAGTACACAAACAAATGCAAAATCTCTTTACTTATTTCAGTGGGATTCTACAGGGATCTACTTCATGGGTCTGATGCTCAGTTAAGTTCTTCAGCTTGACCTCACTGGAGTGACTTTCTATAATTATCCTGTAGCTGAGACTTGAAATGAGCCAGGCTTCCCACTTCCTCACTTAATTTCCTTTCACAAGTGACTAATATTGTTTAAATTTACTCTTATTATATTAACCTTCTCCTAAGTAAGTTTTGCAATAATGAGTGTGTACACTAGCAGTAGAATTCATTGGTAGGGACTCAACTGAGTAAATACTTGTGTCCTTGACAAACTGGGGGAGAATTTGGCTCAGATTATGAGCACTTGAAATGGCATTCTCTCATTTATGTTCATGCTTTGCAAAGATCTGCAGTTGATCAGGATTTGAGAGGTTTTATTACATGAACATTGTCCATTTTTATAATTTTTATTAAGAGCTAACTTCTGTTAGTAATTCATTAGGGTCAACATCTCAGGGTCCACAAAGCAGCAGTTTAAAATCCATTTGATCTGAGTGCAATACCAGTACTGCAGGCTTGTATCTTTTGAAGAACCAAATATGTTTTGTTTTGAAGTACTTTTAAAAAGCACTGTAAATTTCACCCAGTTCTACCAAAGGAATGTGAGGAGTTTTTTTAATCTTGGATCTGAGTGTGGCCCTAGAAAAAGTGAGACACTTGTAACTGAGTCAGCGCTAGTGATCAGTTTTCCATGTAGGGACGGGATGTGCTGGTCCTTGGAGTTTTTTGGCAAAACCTCGTGGTCATGCCTCTTGATGTAGAGTGAAGCCTGTTCAAATCCACATCAACGTTTGTAAGCGAGATTTATTTTGAAACAACAGCTCATGCAAAGCCTGTGAATGGGCCTCTGGAATTTGTGTGTAAATGTGTCAGATATGTGATGATATTTCCAATAGTGAACTACCTGTATGGCTCAGTACTGGTGATGTTAAATTGCGTGTTTCATGCTAATGTCAAGAAGGTTTACAGCACCTTTATAATGGTTGATAACAAATGACAATTTGGCCTGACCTGTATGCTGCAAGATGCCTCTAGCCCAGTTGGATTAATTTTATTAAAAATCTAGATGAGCAAGAAGTATAACTAATCTGCTTACTAGCACTGAATTGCTCCTTTCTCAAAGCAATAAATATATTCATGTTGTAACATCTGTTGTGCAGCCTACAATACGAGTTGTTTTGTTGCATTGTTTCTATATAATTTATTTTGTGCAATAAAAAAAATCTCTGGTTTTATCTGACTTCTTTCTAGTTTGTAATAATATTTGAATTAAAACATTTACTAGTTTTATATCTTAATCATGCAGATGTACTGTCGATTCACAGAAGTGTGAGTAGAAAACAGAATGCAGTAATATTATTCATTACAGAAAAAACAGAAGGTACTCACATGCCTAATTTCCTTCTAGTTAATGTCATAGATGCTACCATTAATTTTCACGGGTGCAGAGTTCTGCCTAACATTAAAGCTGTCTGGACTTGGCACCCCATTTGTAAAATATAACCAGGTGGGTTACAGTGTGACTGTGTGCTTGAGGCTTTTTTTAAAAAAAGAAAAGAAAAAAAGACAACAAAAACAATCCATAGGGATTCTGCAACTTTTTTTTAACCTAATTTCACTGCTTTTTGTTCTCTCCCTTTTTGATGTTTTTCTGAGTTAATATGGTTTCAGTAGTATTTATTATTCTGTGCACTTACCTTTATTATGTTGTTGTTTTAACTCTAAGGTAGTGTAAAATAAATGTGCATGCAAATTGGAAGATAGAGAATATCCTTACCAGTGAGCCTTTGGTGTGAAGTAGCATTATTCACATGATATACTGAATTACTGCAAAGAAAAACAATGGAGGGAGCCCTGTTATTCAAGAGAACTTGTACCTTTTGTCTGAGATTCTCCTACAAAACCTGCAATACCACCTCTGAGCTTGAGATGTGGCTCAGATTTGGAAATAATAGAAAGGATTGCTGATTTAAGTAAAATAATCTGAGACAAAGTACATTTTGTATCTTCTTGTAAAATCCTTCTACATGTTAGCAGGAAAAAAACAATTGCTTGTGAGTACAACATGTGAAATGCAGCACATTGCAGTACATGCATATGATTAAAGAGGATTTGTTAGTTATGTTGCAATTGGCTGTTAACAGGCTGAGAGCAGCTGTGGCACCACTGGCTGCTTTGTAACCTGTGCAGGTGGAGCAGTGCAGCCTCAATAGGTTTCTTTGGACCTTTGTCACGTGGGATATTTGACCTCCAGATTTGTCAAAGGTCATAAACTTACTTTCCCTTCTTCTAAAAGCATTCCTGAGATTTAAGGCTATTCAGTGAAAAAAAACTCCAAACTTTACATAATGCTTCTACATTTTTTATTGAACATAAATTGAATTGTATATAAGTGCAAAATTCTGCTCCTAAATAGGGACCTTTTTCTCAAGCAAGATTTCCATTTAAAATGCAGTAATTAAATTATTCTAAATAATTACTTTGTTTCAGGTAGCTAAAAGGAGAACCATGGTGGGGGAAAAAAAACATGCATAAGAATAGTAACAAATGCCTGATAAGTCATAAAGCTGGATTATGTTTTATAGAAGGAGGAAGTTAGGTGGTATACAAATAGCTGTTTACATCAAGGGTGTAGCACATGAATTTCCCTGTTGGAATTGTGATTCACTTTGCTTTCTGCACTAATTATTTTTTCCTCTTTTATTCTAGAGGAGAATATGCAATGCAGTGTCATTATAGGCAAGAATAATGTTTTCCAGAAGAAAACTGCTTTCGTAATTTAGGTTTCATTAAAGCAACAGAAATTTGCTGGCAGTATGTAATATGAGCACCTTGTTCCAGTGGCACACTTCCAACATCTTCATTTGGAAAGAAGACTGCTGCATTCACAATTCATAAAAGCATTGGCATCTCTCCCATTAAACTCACACAGGAAAATAAAACATTCTTATATGCAAAAACACCCTATCTTTTCTAAGCTATTTATAGGTAATGTTCTGTCCTTTCCTGTAGTACACAAATAATGACAGTAAGTGCACTTTTAGATATGGAAAATAGTTACAAAAATGAACTTAAGAAAAGCTGTACTTAAAAGCAATTTTGGAGACACTTTAAATGCCTTGGGTTTAATGTCATCCTTTTGCACATGTATGTGTCCCATGCCCCAGGGACTTCCAGTCCTGCTGCCTACAGGCTGCCTCTATAGATTTGTGTCCTAGTACATCTCCAGAACCAGCAGAACTTGTTACTTAGCCAATATTCCTCCTTTAATTTTTCTGTCCATGTCCTTCTCAAAGTAGTGTGATTTGTCTTGCTAGTTTCTGAAATGTGTTTTACTCCCATGTTCCTCCACTGCAACCTGGTAGAAGTGATGCAGATGTAGAGAGAGTGCTCTGTGTGCTCTTTGTGTCCTCATGCTACAGCCAACATCAGCAGTTCTAAACATCCTAAACAGCGAGCTCAGGAAAATTCACTGCTGCTCCTGTGCTTTGCTAGTTTATGATGTTGGATTTGTAAAGCATCTTGGTACTCACAAAGAACTCATGGAGTATTTGACACTATTAACAGGGAAAGAGAAATAGGTAGGGCTACCAATGCTGTTTGCCCTTGCAAGCAAACAGCATCCAGAACAGAAGCTGCACTTCTCTGAGTACTGCCCTCATCTCCAGTGTGGATTGCTTTGTAAAGCTAAACAGCAATTGCACCGACTTCTTCCAGAGCCTTTCTCTGTCCAGGTGCTGGGCACAGATTGTTACTGTCGGTGCTCAGTGTGTGGTGACTGGGGGGCTGTGGCCCAGCCCCATCCCCAAGGCACAGCTGTGAGCAGCACTGACAGCAGAGCCATGGAGTGCCCAGGGGCACTGACCAACCTGCAAAGGGAGCAGAGGGCACACAGGGCAGGGCATCAACGTGAGGGTACAAAAGGCTGGGCTGAAGAACAAGGGCAGACAGACACTTGAAGCCTTCTGGAGCGCTAAGGTCCTACTCTGTGTGGGTTGAAGCCTTCTGAACTTGCATGATGACGCTCTGTGTATGGTGGCCGTCTCAGCTGTGACATGTGCTGCAACAGTTATCCTCTGGTAATCCAAATCCCTGGAACAAGAGAAGAAAATGGCACGGGTCTTTACTGCTGAATAGTTCTGTAACTTGCAGCAGTTAGCCTACCCCTGTTACTATGTTCTGCTGATTGCCAGAAACTTTCTTCTTAGACTGAAAAGGTTCTTCCAGAATACCTTATTTATAAGCAAAAAAAAAATTACTACAGGGCTTGAGGTAAGCAATATGTAACTTGGTTTTTAATTGTTATTTGGGAAAATAAGTATAAAAGAGCGCTCTGGCTAATACTTTGAGTGGATGAATGTGCATGTTCAAAGCACAACCCATGTAATTTAACTTTTTTTAAAAAATTTATTCAGACAGAAAAAGTCAGAAATGTTTGCTAATCAAAATTTTTGTTCATATAAAAATAAATACATAAATTATGCTAGTATAGCTTATTTAAAGAAGTGATACTATGAAGGAAAAAAATCTGCACTCTTGCTTTTGACCCAGAGCTGCTATAGTTTAATCTTCTATACTGGCTATAAAAACAAGGTGTTGTGAAACCAAACATGTATTATGTAGATGCCTGATCCCTACAAAGGCTTGTGCTGAAAGAATACTCACATGTGTAACGTGCAAGACACATACATAGGTTTTTAGTGCTGTGGAAATACAAACTGTCCTGCTGGTAGCATGCTCTCCATTGTTTTACAGGTTGTATTTAAAACAAGAAAATCACTTGGAAAATAGATGCCTAGCATTTCAAAGGAACCCAAAGTGCTTTGTGGGTTATGTATTTAAAAACATACACACAAGGAGTGACTTTGCCATGACAACGTGGCCATAGGTAAAAGTAGACTAGAGCAACTCATCCCAATAAAGTAATTCAAGTGCAAGTGTTCAAGGTAACAGTAATGTGAAATCAGAATTCACACCTAAATCTATTCAGGTCTATTCCCTGACTTTGAAGAAAAGTGCCAGTAAATCTTTTCAGTGACTGCACAGTGAGCTGCCCACCATCTGCATCCCGCCTCAAAACACTGACTTCTGCCTGCAGCTCCTACTCTATGGCAAGACTACTCTGTGGCAAACAAACTCTCAGGTAAAAAAATCAGAATAAAATGCTATATGAGCCTTAATATAGTCTCAATGCCTATCATGGGGAAACTACAATGATCACTGCTTAAAGAAGCTGACAAGAAGCTAAATTATTCTGAGTTTCTTGTAATATCTTCTAGATTTTGAGAAGGAGGTGGATGTGATAGGAGAACCTACTTGTCTTCCTGAGGGAGAGGGCTGTACACAAATTTTCTTTATCCTGATGTTATCAACTGCCAGTCACAAGAGGAGGCTGGCTAAAACCAGGTTTGAATAGCCCTAAGAAATTGAGGCTTCAGCTCTGGTAGTTCTTCTCTTTCAATTGCACAAGAGTAGGTGAGGACAAGAATTGCCAGAGATGTAACACCACAGGGAGCATCATGTGGAGGAAATTGCTCAGCACACCAGCACAAGGGTGTGCCAGGCAGCCATGGAGCAGGAGTGAGCCAGCCAGCAAGCTCCACAGCTGCATTGCTGCAGGACTGTTTGAGCTATTTGCAGCTCTGTGCGAGGAAACTGGCAGCATAGAGCCAGTGGCTGTGGGCTGTGAATCCTTGTAGAGCTCAGATCACTGCCAGCCAGACTGCCTGTAGCCCATGCTTTGCTGTAGACAAAGTGTCTATCCATGGGTTATATGGAAAATACTATATGGATCTTTCACCAATAAACATTTTTAATGCCACCCATTTCTTAACTGCTGCCAGGTTAAAGTACAGAGTCAGCAGATAAACTGTGTTTTCTAAAGGTGTTTTCTAAATTTCACATTTTGCCACTAGGAAGTGCAGACTTAGTTTCAGCTGCTGTTTTCAGCCTGACATTAAGAGTTGGAAATCAGTAGAAGAGCATCCCTGAGCCTTCCTATAGGACTGCAGGCAGAAGTTCTGACAGAAAACAGGAGACTTGTTGGTGTGGCCATCAGCTTGAGATTGAGGCTGTGGATTCACAGATTTCTTGTTGCTAAACTCTTTGGCAGCAAAGGTCATGGGGAAGGAAAACCACCTGTTGTGCAGCAGCTGTATCATCTGCTCTGCTTTTATTTGCCCACAAGGAACCACTGGAATGAGAATAGTGGTAAGGAATATACTGTGGTAAGG